TCCCCTTTGGCAAGTCATGTTTGCCTGCAGGGTGATGATGTTTATGCATCTAGGGAACCATGGAGATGTTAACATGTGATATTTCCTCAAGTAAACTAAGTTCTTTTGCAATTTGCTGCTCAAGTTGTGGCTCTCCTGCAGGTATGTCGTTGTGGTCCTTTCCACTATATTTATTTGACGTATATGTTTCCAGACAATACTTGGGTTTTGTACTACATGGTAAATGAAATGAAATTCCTAATATGCTAGAACGTACAATGGTAATTGTTAGTTTCATTAGTATTTCTTGGCAAACCATTGTTCTTTCTTGGTCTGCTGAAAATAATTGTCATCAGTTTTAGTTTACATTGTCTAGAGAGAAAGTGATGTTTTTTAAGAGATAGATGAATAATTTCAAAACATGGATTAAGCCCTGTGCCAAGTTGTGTTCCCAACTTTTAATCTCACTGCCTTCTTACTTCAGGGCAAATCTTCCCAACAAGAAGCATAACAGAGGCCTCTCTTTCAATGTTTGAAGATTGGTTATCTAATAACTGGCCATCAGAGGGAGAAATTCAGCTCCATAACCTCCATGTAAATACCATCATCTATTTTCCCTCTCGCCCACTTCTGTTACGTATTTACATTTTTGTGTTGGCATGTTCTAAAGAAGCTGCACCTTTTTTCCCCTTGTGAGTAAATTGCCAGAAATCTAAACTCATGGGCAAATGAACTATTTGATTCAGTGATTTGCCAGATCAACAACAAAATATTACTAAGTAGCTCATGTCATTAACTTTTTAATAATGATGCACATGAGATATACTCCAAGGTATGCAGATAGGTATTTTTGGTAGAATATGTAGTGGTAAATCAACTCTCATGCATGCCCTTTTCTGTATCATGTGTCCTACTATCGGTTAGATAATAGTAGACATCGTCGACATTGGCACCATTGGGTTGTACGATCTGATTTCTAGATTGGCCATCATCAATGTTCGATCGAACTGTGAGAAACAACCTTGACCCTCTAGGAGAGTACACTGACAATCAAATCTAGGAGGTAGTCTTGATATTCACATGCTCATTGCTTGTCATTTCTCAAATTACTAAACAATCACTTAAAAAATCTATTTGTCTTGGCTCGAAGTATGAATCTGTTGCTCGTAATTGTTTTTTAGTTCGATATGTCTTCACATTCATACAATTCTATGAACCTATGTGTTCCCATTGATACTTTGTAAATCTTGTACTAGTTACTACGGCTTTGTGCATTTCTCAAATACAGAGGCCCTCCAATCTTCTTAACTTTCTAATAATGACTGAAAATTGTTATTCTACATTTCAACCATCGGTCACTATCAGTTAGGAGTTGAAGTTCGGAGAAAGGGGCTAAAACATGATTCGCCAGCTCTGCTTTACTCGTACCATAGAGTTCATATTCTGGTAGTTTTGGTGCTTCTGAAATTGCTGATAAATTCCAAATTGCCCTTGAAGTGGTAGAGAGTGGAGAGAACTGGTGTGTGGGCCAGTGTCAGCCCGTCTGTCTCAGTTGGGTGATTCTGAGACGGACCAAGATACTGGTTCTGCCACTGTTTCGGTGGACTTGCAACTTGCAACAGATAACCTGATACCGGACACACCACAACAGCATTACTCAGGGGTGATTGGCATGACGATCGTGCATCGAATCACCTTGGTCCTTCAGAGCGAAATACTCTAGCTTCTTGACTATGGTGGTACAGTCTGGGGAACGATTTTCTGTACAAGAGGAGGTCAAAAAAGGCATTGCTTATTGTACATTAGATTCTACAGGCAGGGGACCTTCAGCTTTGTAGTACTCCTGTTGTTTCATGAAGCTTCAGATTATATTACTATATTTTCCCTTGATTGTAAGAAAATCAAGCATACACTAATAAAATTAAGCATATAATACATAGTAATTTAATCTGAAGCTTCATCAAACACTGGCAACAATACGTAGTCTCTCCAAGGCCTATATAGGTATGTTTATCTTGCTGTTTCAGGTTAGAATAATGATTTTAAGCCATGTAGATAACCTTCAACTAGCAATGCCAATCATATAACCCTTGAGCATGTGACAGAGTTTTCACCCTCACCATGTCCAGTGACGTTGCTAGCAGGAGTAAGATGTTTGGGTTGGCGGAGTCGGCGGCCGGTAGTAAAGCAAGGGTGTTGTGTTACAAATTTTTCATCAAGAAATTCACATAGGAATATATTTTTTCCTTCAATAATGACCCTTTATATTTTTAGTACTTTCAATATTGTTTCGCTCAAATAAAAGTATGTTTTGCTACTTACAAAATTGTATCCTTGTGAAGAAGTAGTTGCTTTTTTACTTACATTGAGAGAAGGTTTATCTTCAGTGTATATAAATTCCATGTCCTTTGCAATATTTGGCCGCCTTGAATGATGCACATGCTGACCTTCTATGTTTGTATGTTGGGTGGAGTCAAGCCCCTACATGCAGTAGAAGAATCATATTTAAGGGTTGTGGTTCAGAGTTTTTCCATGTATGTTGGTGAAGTCATGCAAGTGAAGCACCTCATTGTCCCCTATATTTTTTTGACTTGTTTGTCTATGTACGTTGGGTGAAGTCATGCAAGTGAAGTGATAAATTTTTCCGATTTGTTTGTCTATGTATGTTGAGTGAAGTCAGTGAAGAAGTTCATTTTGTTCGTTCTTTAGAAATTTATTTTGTTTTGTTTCTGATTAACAGGTAATACTGTCAAGTTTAGAGTGCCTCCTAAAAGTTTGTGTTTACTTTACCGTTTCTTCATGATGAATTTACAATACACGACGATCGAATAACTGCCCTGTAGCTACTAGAATTTTTTGAATTGCTATGATGGATTTTACTGTACTGTAGTACTCAAAGAAGTCTACTTGTTTCTGTTGTCGTAGTAAATTATAGTTAATTGATGACTAACCTGATGATGGATTTAGTGTCCTGTAGCTTCTATAATTTACAGTACCATAATTTTTTTGATTGTTTGAATTTACAGTGACCTCCTGCTTGAATTTACACTACCTTGTTCGAAGATTTACAATCCTATAACTTCTGTAATTTACAGCAGTACCATAAAGGTTGTGATTGTTGTATTTTACAGTGACCTGGTATAGATTTTACAGTATACAGTTACCTTAATTTACAGTGCTACATTTTTCTGAACTATTGGTGTTCTAGACATGTTTTGATGATGCTCTTAGGTGTTGATCTTCTTGTACTGGAAGAACTATTTGGAGGAGATTGCGAGAGTACGGACCTGCAGTTTGTCTTCTTGGTGTGACTGTAGTTTCCTGATTGTGTAGCTATTCTGTCCCCTTCTTCCTCCATCCTCTTTCTCGTTCTTATCTGATCATAAAGCACACATTGTTACTGGTTGTTTCTCCTTATTTTACGGAAGTTCCAGTATCTTTGTTGTGATCTGGTTGTTACTGACTGGAATTTTAGTAAAACGAACACTGTAAAATTCATCAAAGCTCGATACGCTTTAAAGTTATTGTTTATCATAGTGAGTTGACTGTAAATTTCAGTCGAAAAAACTGTATTTAAAGCTTCATGACGATGAAATATTTAGTATGTGATTAGTTCATAATGTGTTGATCATTGTACAGCAGGTTGATGCGAATGATGAATTATAGTATGTTTGTGTTCAGGAGTTTCCTCTACAAGTATTTGATTAAAGGCCAATTCAGTTTCAGTCGATTGTAATAGACACTCCTTTTTTTAATACCAAAGTGTTATCTTTTTTCTTTGAGAATCACCAAAGTGTTATCTGTGTACGTGAAATGTCCATGTCAAGAGCTTTTTTTGGGCCAAGCCCAAATAATGAAATATATAAGAATAACGACTCCCCACCAAAGAACAAACTTATATATCAGAAAAACTCAACATAGTAAAAATAGTTTTCTATATTCACACTTTTTAAAAACTGGTCAAAATTCCCAAAAGTTGTTCCATTTAAAAAGTGCATTTAAAAATGTTTTAAAAAAACAGTCACTATTTTTTAATAAAGCATTTATTTTTATTAAACAAAATCGTGTTTTCTGAAATGAAAAAAAAAACTGAATCAAACACTCCATGAAGTCTTCAATTAGGCGAAGAATGCCATGGTGGCTTTTGAACGACCAAAATTCAACTGAGAAGCAACAATGTAACATTAGTACCGACATTTAATAGAACTGAATATAAGAAATGGTGCGTATATGACAAAGAAATTTAGGACTTCGTGGAGTCCAAGGTTTGCTGGGTGCGTCGTTCAAGAATAAAGTTGCCCATGTTTTAGTTGTAATAAGAATAAGCTTTGTAAAACATGGTTCCATGTCTTGCCAGCGTGTATTATCACACTCAGAACCAATGGAGACTGGTTAATAAATCACAGCGATTCCTGCTCAAGAAAAAGGGAAATTGTACCTAACGACATATGGAGCAGGTTTTGTAAGATTCCACGCCCGTTGCGACGCACGGGCATTTGTACTAGTTTTGTTAATCAAACTAAGACCTAAAAGGCTAAAACCTATGTCCACCTAACAAATCCTGCTGGAGGGAGTAGATTATGACAAAATTTGAGAAATTTGTGCAGATAGTTACAATAAAAGGCATTTTATACTATTTTATTTTACTACACTTGAACTTGTTGTACGGACACATTGGTTGCTTTATTTATAAAGCAAGCCAAAGGCCTATTTTGAGAATAGGCATTTTACAATTATAACCAAATTATCTAAAAATCTCAATAGACAGCTACAAACAAGCTGGACGAAAGCACATAATAGGCAAAGCTTACAAAAGGTACTTGGTTGAAAACGCTCATGCCAACTTCAATAAGTTCTAAGTTAAATATAAAAGCACATAGAAACGCTCATGCCAACTTCAATAAGTTCGAAAGTTAAATATAAAAGCACATAGATCCTCACGATATCAGCTACAGCTGGAGAGCAATTGCTAACGGAAGAAATCACTACGAATGGGCAGAAACTGATCCAACACTAAGACCTTATCCTGCAACCATTTGTACCCCAACTTGTATGTCCGCTTCAAAAGCATCAGTTCGAAGGGAACCCCTCTCTCTAACAACTTGCTCAGCTTCATATGATTCTTTAGCCTCCTTGACGAAGGAGGCCAATCTCCTCTGATACTTTGCCTTACAATTAAGGAGATACACCACTAAATTATAGAGCCTCAAAATAGCTCCTTTAATGATCCCACTGTCTTCGTATTTATGTGCATCAGCCACTAACTTTGATAACTCATCTGTTGAAAACATCTGAAACAAATGGGTTCCAGATAGTTACTAGAATGACAAGTGCCCGTCAAATGTGCAAAACATATTTGTAAAATATTAGTATGATTTACCTCATCAGGATTACCAAACAAGATATCGTCTTCAGGGTAACATACCATCTTCAGAGCTGTTGCAAGTTTCAATATGTCCCAGTCTTGAAAATTAATGGATGACACATCCTGAAGGAAGTGACTAGCAAGGCGCAAACTCTTAAATTGATTCTTTAAACAACAATCAGAATCATATAAGTTGCATGCTGTCACAATAATGCAATCATTAACCTGGATACAAAGAGCATTGCTCCATCAGTAATAAAGCAACGAGGCAAAATTATTGCACTGAAATCTTTGGTCAGCAACAAAGTGCTGCAAACTTTAAGAATGTGTGTTAATCACCAGTGAGCAATAAAGCACAAAGCATTTCAGATCACTATATATTAATTTTTTTCAGATCACTATATATTTCATAACACTATATCAGGCATATGAGAAGGCAAAGTGGTGGCCTCACCATCTCCGGTTTTATATCAAAGCCATAACGATGAAGGAGCATTTTCAGCCCTTGACTCGTCTGGAGGCAGTGCTCCTCGGCTAGCTTTGATTTTTCTTCAGGAACTACACTATGCATGAGATAGTTCAGCCCACGCATCAGCTCCATTACAGGTTCATCAAACAGGCAGGATATTCCCTGAAAAAGGCACCACTAAATGATGGTGCTCAAAATTGTCGACATACGCAAGGACAAAAGGGAGCTTACACTTACCAAGTTTGCTTCAATGACTATTTTATATTCAATCTTGCCAACAGCAAGTTTCTGCCCAGGTTGGTACCACTTCAAGAGCATGTTAGTAAGCTGATTGTTAAGACCACTATCATGGTTAATGGCATCAGACTTGTCCTTAAAAACTTGAAAGTCTTTTCGCCAAATGACCTGATAAAGAAATGAACAAGGACAAGCTTATCAAACAGGAGGAAAGAAACAAATACTCAAACATCATCTAATGTCTCAATCAGATAAGGATCAGTAGTTACATCTCAATCATAAAGATTTATGGGCCTGTTTGGTTGATGTACTAAGGTTGCCACCATTTCTTATACTTTTTAGCCAAAACAAAATGATGTTAGGCAATCGAAATTGGCACCACATTTTTTCATACCTAAGGAAATTTTGCAACACTTGCCGAGTCAGTGACATTTGGGAGCTAGGTTGCCCGAAAGGAATATTCCCTCATGTGGCTGAGAACCAAACAGGTGCCTTACTTGGTCCTAGCTTGCGGTGTGTTTATCCAATTTTTGAAGTCTACAACAACAACAACAACAACAACAAGAAAGCCTTTAGTCCCAAACAAGTTGGGGTAGGCTAGAGGTGAAACCCAAAAGATCTCGCGACCAACTCATGGTTCGGGCACATGGATAGCAAGCTTCCACGCACCCCTGTCCATAGCTAGTTCTTTGGTGATACTCCAATCCTTTAGATCTCTCTTTACGGGCCCTGTTTGGATACTCTAACCAAGGTTAGAGTTAGAGTTAGTTCCTAACTCTAGACTAACCCTGAACTAACTCTAACTAAGATGGTTGTTTGGATCACAGGGTTAGATTGACAATAAATGCATTTTTTTCTCACTTTCTAGCCGGATTTGGTGTGGCCTTGAATCATAAAAGGTTGACGAACAACAAATACTCACTTCACATCGCTCTTGAAGAAGCCTAGGCGCAATCAGTGAAGATCCACAAATAAGTGAAGCCTAGCCGCAACGAGGGGCGCCGGCTTAACGGCGACGGGGGCGCAAGAGACGACGCCGTGGCTCGAGTGGCTGAACGGGGAGGGATGCCGCGGCGCCGGAAGGAGCAGGATGGGGGCGGGGGAAGCGGTGGCGGGATGGGGGCGACGGGCGGGCGCGGCGGGGAGCTGCGGGACGGGGGCGGCGGGATTGGGGCGACGGGGCGGGGCGATTGGGGCGGCTGGCTGGTGCAGGAGGATGAGGTATGCAGGAGAGGGTATTTTTTAATGGGACCAACCACATCTAACTCCAATTAGCTCCTCCCCACCGGGTTGGATTTTTTTTGCTAGGTTAGAGCAACTAACTGCTATCTAACTCCACCTGTTTGGATCCTTTAGGGTTAGTTTAGCCTGAACTAACCAACTCTAACTCTAACTGCAGCATCCAAACAGGGCCACGGACTCCTCCCATGTCAAATTCGGTCTACCCCGACCTCTCTTGACATTCTCCGCACACTTTAGCCGTCCGCTATGCACTGGAGCTTCTGGAGGCCTGCGCTGAATATGCCCAAACCATCTCACACTTTAGCCGTCCGCTATGCACTGGAGCTTCTGGAGGCCTGCGCTGAATATGCCCAAACCATCTCAGACAATGTTGAACAAGCTACTCATCAATTGGTGCTACCCCAACTCTATCCAATTTTTTAAGTCTAATCAAGAAAATTCATGTGCCAAGATAATAAAACGTATTTCAAGCAATGACAGTGTTCTTTGGTGGTGGTGCCATGTTTGGGCTCAATCAAGCAGTTACCAATCAACCAATGTAATGTTCTTAGGTTACATTCTCCGCACACTTTAGCCGTCCGCTATGCACTGGAGCTTCTGGAGGCCTGCGCTGAATATGCCCAAACCATCTCAGACAATGTTGAACAAGCTACTCATCAATTGGTGCTACCCCAACTCTATCCAATTTTTTAAGTCTAATCAAGAAAATTCATGTGCCAAGATAATAAAACGTATTTCAAGCAATGACAGTGTTCTCTGGTGGTGGTGCCATGTTTGGGCTCAATCAAGCAGTTACCAATCAACCAATGTAATGTATTTCAAAAATATTCTGTGGCAGTTTTCTTGGATAGTACCGTCTCTAGGCTCAATCAAGTAGTTACTACTAGCTAAGGTAATGCGATGTATTTGGAAACAGCTCATGGTGGTGTTCTTAGGTTACAATGTCTGCGCTCCATCAAGCAGTTAACTAGTTCTGAATTGGTTCATAGAAAAGGCTCCATAGGGCCATCCACGTTGACCTTTCAGAAAATAAGTGTTTGGAATGCATACAATACATGTATCAGCATCCTGTTACATATGCTTTAAGGCTAGCTTTAAGGGTAAAAAATGCATTTGAGCGTGTCCACTATGCAATGAGCTTGTGGCATGGTGTTTGTAGCAGTATTAAGAAATCGCAATAAAATGATAAAAGGAAAAGGTGGAACTAACATGGCTTGCCCTATATTCCGTGACGAAGTGCGCCCATATATTCTGAAGGAGACAGATAGAATCCACAAAAATTAGGTCAATGACAAAGAAAGAAGAGCAACCAAGCATGTGCCTAAGGAAAGAATGAAGAACAGCGCAATCACCTCCATGGCATCTGGTTCGTAGAGGCTGATCCCGTCAAAATAGAAAATTGCAAAGCCCGAGGGTGTCTCAAACAACACCATGATCAACCCATGATTCCCCAAATCAGCAGCTGCAGATACACAAGTCAAGCAAACTCAAGAAAAGAAGGATTAAAGAAAAAACTGCATGTGCCCCCAGTCACCCATTCAGACATCAGGCGCAAGAGGTGGTGTCACTAAGGGCGTGTACAATGATGCTATCTTATGAATGCCATAACAAAAGGTTGTCTTCTCTTAATTAAGAAATTATATCTTAGTAACAATATCTCTCACCACATATTTAGGGATATCTAGTTAACAAAGATAAGACTGAGAAATAAACCATTGTACATTTTTTTTCTGTCTTCCCTAGATTACATGGCAGGCATGAGATAAGACTGCCTTATCAACCACTCTACATGCCCTAATAAGTACCAAATCACATACCTGTTTGGGAGTTTCTTGTCCCATCCTCCGAAACCCTAAAGAAACCCAAGCTGAAATGGAGGACTAAACAGATCGGGCTGGTGCCTCCAACCTAATCCCCTTAGAACATAGACGGGTCTGAGTAATTTTGGATTCTTAACGCTCCCAGCCGTCAACCCTAGCTGAATCAGCTTAGGGCGATCCACGGCAGCCTAACAACTACATGCCCTTAGGCGGCAGCGTGCTTGTATGGACCACGGGCCGGGCGGCGCGGCCGTTGACCTAAAGCCTGCCCCTTCTCTATCCACGCAACCTGACTCGAGCGGGGCTTCCGGGATCCAAGCCAACTTGGTTTTCTTAGAGCACAAATAGCCTTGCCACATCTACATGTGGTATAATAAGCTAGGGTTTCTTTCGGCGTCCGATGGATTAAGTAGAGAACGGCGTCGGGCGGTGACTCAGCTATACTGACAAACGAATTCGCCGGAGGAGGAAGCCGGCGACGCTTTCCACCTCGTTGCCCCGTCGAGGTCGAGGTCAAATTCGCTCGAGAAGAACGCCGGCATCGCTGTCCGCCCCGTCGCCCCATCGCTGTCTACTCGTGATTGCGAGAGGTGAGGGGTTGGTTTGCGGCGGCGAGGGGAATGTATAGGTTTCAGGAGCGTGGAACCTTCCCGTTCCGTCCAATAACTTGGTTTGCGGGTAAATGGGCCGGCCTGTTTAGTTTTTTCATTTCGAGGAAGCGATCCACGCGGGAGCTCCTACTCGGTGGATCCTATTTGACGCGCGTGTGCGTCCAGGAGCTACGACTTCCCTGAAGGGATGACAACTTGGGCTGGCCCACGTACGAAATTCCTGTGCCGTTTTCCTTCACTACTGTTTCCATCGCTGCTTCTTGCGGGTTTTTTTTTCTTCTGCGTATTTTTGCTTTCAGTTTGCTGGTTTTTTTTTTGCTTTCAGTTTTTCTTTTATGTTCCTTTTTTTCTATTTTTCTATTTTTATGTATCTGTTTCTTTTTTGTTTTCTTCTCTTTTATTGCTTATTATGCAGAATGTTCACCGCATATTACAAAATCATTCATCGTATTAACAAAAATGTTCAACGTATATTGCAAAAGTAGTTCTTCTATGCGTTATAAAAATGTGCATCGTGTATTACAAAATGTTCATAGTATATTATGAAATTGTTAAACGTATTTTTTACTAAATGTTCAATGTGTATTTGAAAATTGTTCAACACATATATTCATATTTTTCAAAACTGTTCGTATTGTATAAAAAAACGTTCATCGTGTATTATTTAAATTGTTCAACGTACATTAAGAAAAAGTTTGGAAATTACAAATGTTCAGTATATATTTTTTGAAAAATTTCAAACGATTTTGATACTTATACCATCGCGCCTCATACTTAACACTAGAATTCGCTTGCCCGTTTGGTTAGTAGGACTCGTTCACGAGAGAGAGGTCACGAGTTCTATCTCTCCCTGGCGCCTAACATTTTCGTTATTCTTTTACTTGTCTGGAGCTTCTATATGTAATAATGGGCCGGCCCATTTGCTCTGCCTTCAGCGAAGGCTCCACCATTTGCCGCCTACGGGCGGCAAATAGGAGCTCTCCTACTCGAGAGATCCTATGCGCCGCATTTTGAGACCCCCTCCTTGGCGCCTTTAGCGCCCGTTAGGGAATCCAGCTCTCGCTGCGTCGCTTGCTCGAAAACAAAAGCTGCCCGCTCGATCTCTTTTTTCTTCACTCAAAAAATGCTACAGTATGTACTGGTTTTCTTGGAAAAAACAAACCGGTTTGCTATCAGTATGTACTCTTGTCCTTCGAAAATAGTTTATTGAATTCAAAAAAAAAGTTCATCGAATTCGAAAAAAGTTCACCGAATTCAAAAAAACGTTCACCCGCTCGAAAAAAGTTCATTGAATTTTAAAAAAAGTTCACCGAATTAAAAAAAAATGTTCATAGAATTCCGAAAAAAGATCATCGAATTCGAAAAATAGTTCACCCCATTCAAAAAAAGTTCACCTAATTTGAAAATAGTTCATTGAATTTGATAAAAAAATCATCGATTTTAAATAAGAAGTTCACGGATTTGAAAAAAGTTCATCGAACCTAGGAAGAAGAAAAGGAAAAAATCGAAAAAGAAAATAGAAAAACGTAAACAGGAAAACACAAACAGAAGAAACAAAGAAAGAAGAAAACGCATAAATATATAAAAGTTATCTCGCAGTTGAGTGTGGCGCGGTGGTTATTGCAGCTTACTAGTGAGCAGGACGTCCGCGTTTCGACTCCCAGTACTAGCAGATTTTTAGCCTTGTTTTTAACACAAGGGAAAAAAGCA